CACCACAGAAAGGGCAGCAGACCACCACAACCATTTGAAAAACGAACTTATTTCTTCACCAGAACAAAGAAATGTAGAATTCTCTCCTCACAGAAGGAACAGATGAAGTCTGTAATGCTGAAGTGCAAAAACCAGTGCAAATATTTTAAATCTGGATCCCACACGCACTTCGCACAGGACACCCCACCAGCAGCACAGCCAGAAGTTCACCACAGCCTAAAAAAAAATAACCTAAGCAAAGCAAAACCCAGATACTGAACTGATGAAGAGTTTCTTTGAAAGTCACAGAATCTAAACCAGATTTTCTGAATACAATCGATCTATTTTAAATAACACCCTTTCCTGACTTACCGCAGGTGAAATACCCTCACTTTCTTGAAAGTTTTCTGACACAAAAATGTTAAAGCCGCTACGAGGTCTTTTGGGTTTTCCAAGCACAGTCATTTCCTTTAAAAACAACAAGAAAAGTTATTCAATCTCCTATGCATGCACTCTTCCAAAACTAGACTTAACATTTGTCTTTGTATTTTATACAAAAATCAGACTCAGAGGCGCCTCTGCACAGGCCTAATTCATCATGTCAGCAGCTACACAGGTAAAAAAGGGGCAGAATCCAAAGGAAGGAAGGACAAAAATGCTACTTCAAGCAGCTTCTACTTCGTAGAGGACAGTGAAGGCCTTTGTGAAAAGTTATTTCTGGATGTCTTCCCAACCAAAGCAAGTGCTGCTGGTTCAAAAGTCTTTTATTACCTATTGCTCCTCAAGAAAACTTTAGGAAAAGGAACTAAAAAACCACAGGGATGCTCCCTGGGAGCACAAAGCTATGTACTAGTTCTGGGCTTAAAGTGCAGGAAAGCCAAATAACTGGTAAATAAAATAATAAAATAACTGCTAACACCAGCAATTATTACAATCCAGGGAATTCTGTTCAGGGTTTGTGGTTTGGTTGGGTTTTTTTTCTATATTCCGAGAGTGGCTTTTCTAATTCTAAACATTCCTCGACTCTACTCTAGACAAAGAGACTTTGGGTTCCTTGAAAGAAAAGACACTTGAACTTCAAAATACTTACTCTTTTTGCCCTGAATGATCTTCTTTTTGCCAGTCTTTTTCTCCTTTCTTCTTTCAGAGCTGCAGCCTGGGCTGGACTCAGCTGTGCTTTGTACGCCGCCAGCTGCTCCGAGTACTTCTGCCAGTCTGTCTTCCTGGCGTCCTCATAAACCTGCAACACAAACAATCACCGACCTTCAACAGAGGCTCTCACTCAGAAGCATCCTACCATTCAACAAGTTAACACTTCCAATAAATTACAGACTACTGCTGGAACATAACATTTTTAAAGTAAAATTTCAGATCCGTTTGATTAGCGGAATGGATTCAGAGGAACCGAGGTTGAAAACCAGGGCTCTTCCCAAGAATTATCTCTGCTAATCCAATAACATCAGGCAAATCTTCAGATGCAGCTCAAAGCACCATCAATCTTCCAAACAAGACAGAAGGTTGGTTGAAATGACTACTCAAAGCGTGCAGAACCCCTGCAGCACACGAGGTCTCCAGTCACCGGACACATCCCTGGACTGGCCAGTAACGGGTACAAGAGCATCATAAAATCATGGTCTTGGTACCAGGAGGCCAAGAAGAGCCGAGCCAGGCTGCCAAGCACCCACCAGACCTGAAAAATCCCCATCCTCTTCTCCATTTCAGACACAGAAATGAAAAAGCTTATTTTATACTAAGGCACATAGAGCCAGAAGCCCAGAAGGGACAGATGAGCACTTCAATTCTATTCAACAAAGACAAAAATGACTAGTTGCTAGAAAATCACAATTTCCTAACTGAATCTAATTGCTAACTGCAATCCAGGAAGAACAATCACTACTTTGCTATAATATTAGTGAGCAACTTAGAGTTGTTTTACATCAGCCTTTGAAACGTCCAATTCCAAAGAAACTTCACTACTTATGAGAAAAAATAAGTTAGATGAGACTTAAAGAAAGTCACTTGTACGTTAGGTCTCTAGTTACTACCTAATCAACAGAAAAAAAAAAAATGTTGGTCCTTTTATCAAAATTAACTGAGGTTAATTAATCTCAAAAAATAAAATAAAATTAACCTGTGCACGTGAAAGCAGAACAACTTTACAACAGTGATGTTATTCTACAGGTAACGCACACACACAAACAATTACCATTCAGAAAAACCTGAGATACTGGTTCCCAGCCCCACAGCTGCACAGAGCCAGATCTGTCTCTTTTTTGGCTTCTCTGGCAACAGATTAAAAATGCTAAAAGTAAGGTCATGTGCAAAAGTATCAAAGTATTTTCCCCCGAGCCCTTCAAAGCTCCCAATTCTCTTCAGGACTGAACCTTTGTATGCAAGTGCTTTTTAATTGTTGTTTAAAAAGAACAACCGAGAAGAGAAAAACCCCACAGCCCAACACAACAAGCACAGAGGACACCAAATCCAGTGAAACACCCACAAAAGGCTCCGCAGAGTCCAAAGCACAGGGGGGCAAAGATACAAACTTACCTGCTTCTGGGACGCTGGTAACTCCTTCCAAGCACCTGCCAGTTTTTTAACCAGCTCCATGTTGCTCATTTCTGTACATTGAAACAGCAAGAAAATAACAGTTTGATATTGTATCTTTGGCAAGCTGCTTCCATTTTTCCTCAAAGAAGTCTGTCACTAGGATCTTTTTCCTCTACAAACATATTGGCCCCTAACTACAATAACCTCGGTAAGTTCAGTCCCTCACCTTTCAGACTATTAAGCTCTTGAACTACGGAGAAAAATTGGGTATCCAGTGGTTTTCCCTCCTTAAATTCACCTCCCTGCCCAATATGACCACAGTTCTTTAAACGTTTTACCCTATATTTCAACAGAATTTTCAAAACCAGCCCAGCTTTCCATTTTGCTGCTCTCTGGCAGCAGGGGTGGCAGCACTGCCTATAAATGAAGTTTCGGATGGTAAATTAAACATATCCACAGAAAACCTTTTGTTTTTTTCTCCCGTATACTCCGAGTACCTCCAGTAGGTGCAGTCTTTAAATTATTCAGCATGGAAGCAAACCCACGTACAGCTCGTTGTGCCGACAGCAGCACGCTTCAAATGCACTCAGGCTTAAAAATGACCGAAAACCACAAGCACGTATCGCCGAGGGGAGTTTTTTCCCTCAAACGTTTTTAAAGCTAGGTGGAAACGTTGACTTTTTTTGAGTTGTGAAGTGCAGAAGGGGAAGCCGAGAGGCGCGGCGACACCGCCTTTACCTCACGGTGCAGGGTGGGTCGGGCCTCCCGGGCGCGGGGTAAAGGACTTTACGACACTCGGTTTGACAAAGCCCTTATTCCAGTTTAATTTTTACCTCACGCGTTCTGAGGGAAAGGGCGGCCGGTAGCTAAAAGCGGCGGGAGCTTTATGACAGAACCTCCGGCGCTAAGACTTTTGTATTTTTAAGCCCTTCCTTCCCTTCAGGCCGCAAACATGGATTTTGGGGGTGGTTTTGTTTTGGTTTAAAAGCCTAAAATTTTCTGTCAGGCGGCGGATTTTCCTTTCGGAGGCGTACCTGGGTTCTTTTGCCTGAAAGCCGGGCGGTTTTCCTTCAGGAATCGGAAATAGGCCGTGAGAGGCCGCTTCGGGCGCTCCTCCGAGCTGATCCCCCTCACGACGCCCCTCTCCGCCGAGCCGCCGCAGGCCCTGCACGCAACGGCACCGCCGGTTACCGACACGGTAACCGCCGGTTACCGAGCTTCCCCCCCGCCACCCTCGCCCCGCCCCTCCTGGCGGGAAAGGCCACCCGGGCCAAGGTGACCCCCAGGGTTAAAAACAGAGGGACGCGAGGGGTTTGTGGCACGTTTATTGGGCGAAAAGAATACAGAAATGGGAAATTGATGAAGGAGAAGTTGATTAAACAACAACAACCAAGTAGTTTCACCCCTTTTGCCTCTCAGCTGGGAGCAGCTCCGGTGACACTGCCCCCGGGAGCAGGGCTGCAGGGGGAAAAAGGAGGCAGAGAAAAGGTGATTTTTTCCCCATCCAGGAAAGAGGCAGGGATGGTGTAGCCTCACTACAATCGCTTTATTCTGCCTTAAAATCGTATTAACATATTAAACCAGCATTAACACTGACGGAGTACAACCAGAGATGGTGTTCACCATCAGTGAGATCTCACAGATCAACAGCAACTTCAACTCTTCAACAGCAGAAAGGCAGATCCCAACAATCAAAGGCTTCATAGGCTCAAAATCCAGTATTTTTTTTCTTTTTTTAAAGTATATCAATAGACCGTAGGCAGAAGGGCCTCACTCCTCCTCCATCGTTTTTTCCTGTCATCCTGCTGGTCTCACACCGTGATGGGAAGTCATCGTGGCACATGGCAGAAAAAAAAGTGTACAAGTGTTTTTAAATGATCCCAAACAAAAAAAAAAAAAAAAAAAATCGGCAAATCACAAGAAATGGAGTAGTATTCCGAGATGCACGCCAAAGTTCCAGTTTCACACAGCTCAGAAACACAGATATTGCAAATATTTAAATAGTTTCTAGTACAGATGTAATACTACCCATCTAGGGAAAAAAAATAATAAAATAATAAAATAAAATAAAATAAAATCTCTGGGGACACATTCTGACAGTCAAGGTTTCCTGCCACCCTTTCAGCAATAAACACACAATGGCTTTGCCTTCCTTGCTGCATTGGCCTAGATCAAGTGTAACGAAGCACCCCTCTGAATAACAACCCCCCAACATTGCAATTTAGGGTGAACAAGGGTATTTTAAGATGGATAGAGCTGCTCTCCACCAAGCTTTTGTATCAAAAACTCATGGGTACATCATAGATAAAAGGGGTAGGACAGAAGACATTTTCCCCATCCATGACCAAGAATTGAGCAAGAATGAAGGTAACAGTATTCCATGTGTAGGAATAACAGCTCCTACCCCACACACCTCCCACCCACAACCCAAAATCCAGTCTGGCATTCATCACAGGAAAAAAAAACCACCTGAATATTTTCAGCCTTAGAAGTGTATTCTATGACAACAAATTTCCCAAGTCATTTTTCTTTCATGGGCAAGGTACAGAGAAAAACATGAATCACACTTTTATTTTCAGATATTCCGTAAGAGTAGACAGTAGGAAATGGAAATTCTTCTACCTTTTAAGAAAAGGCTGCCCCTCTCCAGCACTCCTGGTTTTTCCACATGCACAGTCTGAAGCAACTGAAGCACCAGGTCATGGAAAAGTTAGTGGCAAATGCAACAATTCTGATATTACAAATACATCACCTCAGCTGAAGTGCCTGACCTTCAAACACCTGTGGTGTTTCCTCCAGAAATTAACAGAGATGTAACACGTCGTTAAACTAGTTGAAATTCTATATAAAACCATGGGCGCAGCATGCTAAATCAATTAGGCTGAAGCTGGCATAAAAATTAATTGCAACACAGTTCCAAGTAGTACACTCTGCACAGCTCGGTTCTCTCTTTTGTCTACAAGACACATGCACATGTAGTATTTTGATTCTCTAGTGTTAGAACAAGCACTTTAAGGATATGCATGGTTTAAAAAAACAAAAAGCCAAGACAAGTAGTAGAAAACGCATTTTATTTATATGGAAAAGGCTACATTTAGATTTGTAAAAGGTCTGTGATAGTGTTACGTTGCCCACATGTCAGAACTCATTTGTGAACAGCAACAAAAGGGTTATGTATCTTTCTACATAGCAGTGCAATTAGTTCACATTGCAATAAAATTAAAGTCAAGTATGCAACAGAATCAAAACCAAGTGTTTCTCCATAATCAACATACAAAGAATTACAGTGCAAAGATCATTTTAGGTTTTCAGATATCTGCAGTCAGTCTTCAGAATATCCTATCGGGCGGGATACTCCAATTATTTTTTATTACTAGCAGTTGTATCTTGTCAATACTGTGCACAAGCAAGTAAGTCTAAAATGAACTGACTTACGTGGTAAATAAAATATTTAGTCTATACAAGTAAAAAAACCCAACAAATTATATAAGTGAACTAACAAAATGAAATTTGAACACACTTATGAAACAGACAACATACTTTAAAGGACACACATACAGTATTCGTCACATAAAACCAGCTACTTTTTCCAGCAAAAATAATTTGGTTGCTTTACAACTGCATTATGGATCTCGTAGTCTGGAGATATAGATGTCCAACTCTTAAAAACCATAATAAATGTCTTCTGCAAAGCATACAAAGAGGATAAATATTCGTATCACAGTCTAAGTTTATTTTTGGAAGTTTGTTCTCCCTTGCTCCAGAAACACACTTACATGGGTAGAAAAAAAATTCAAGGGGCATCATGATACACTGAAATCGGTGTTCCACTTCCTTCTAATTTTGAGAAAACCCCTAGAATTTACAGTACACTGTGGTATAGGAAAAAGTCTTCTGATGTCTACATTGCATATTTCTGAGTCCATTCTCTTGCATATCTGTTGTATCTGTACGTGCAGAAAAAAGGCATAACAGTGAAGAGCTGTTAGTGATACATTGACAATGGCCACATACTTACTCAACACAGATGTCATTGAGCTTTTCACCTCTTAATACTGGTTTAGACTATTTTAATGTTGTTTGAAAGCCAAGAAACCCACTGACTGCATATTTAGTTCCTAAGGCTACCCAGGCAAAGCTATTCAGACTCAAAACCAGTCTCAGGGGTTTGTATTAAAAGGCGTATCACTGGACATACTTAACTGGCATTTAACCAGTTCCCTTGTTTGTACCTTAACAGGAATTTATTGTCAATTATTCCTAAATGCGTACACTATTAACAGTCTGACAAAGCTCATTCTAGTTGCATAAAATTCACTATAATTAAATGGGTTTGGAAAGGGTGGGGATAAAAGGCACAGTGATTTTTTTTTTTATTTATTCTCCATTCTACATTTCAGAACTTGAAACGAAAATTTCCTGAAAAGCATTTTAAGTCTTTGGTCTTTTCCTTAGGCTATGAAGCTGACTAGCACTCCCAAAGGTAAGTGTCCTTAGGGAGTCAATAACTTTCCCTCTAGTCCTCACATTTGTTACATTCCACTCTTCAGACTAGATTCACTTTCCCTGGGGTCCTCCAGAGAAAATAGTGACATTTTTTAAATCCATTTCTTAAGATCAGTCTAGCAACTCCTGTACTAACTGGTTTTGTTCTTAAGAATATGCTACCGGGCAAGTCTTCGCATTTTTACTTCTAGTAAAGTATTTTTACTTCTAGTAAAATGCTCAGGGGTAACCAGCCTTACCTTTCATTTCCTAAATCCAAACTGAGATTAAAATAATTTAAGCAGTGATCCTGACAAGAAGATAAAGCTATTGTCAAGACTACACATTCTCTCACTTTCACCAGCAATGATTAAATTTCAAGTTTTGGAGATAAGAGAAATAGCCCTTGTTCACTGCCTTCAAAAGCAGGAAGCACAATCACCAAAATCACTATTAAGTAAGTGGATGGACAAAAGCTGAGACACAAAAGGGCAGAAGCTGAAGCAAAATATCCTCAATTTGAACACAGTCTGCTTTGCAGCACAAGCCCCAGAGGTCAAGCACTTCACGAGTGGGCTACACAAGTTGATTGTGTCGGACACCCAACTGTCAGAAAAAGACCATTTTAGTAATTCTTACTTCAGGGGGAGAAATACAGAGGGGGAGAGACCACAGGCTTCCATGTAACTTCTACATCACTAAATCCAGGTCACTGCACTATAAGTACAAGACCCCAGCAGAGATGTTTAGTCAGTATAGTACTTTTAGAGTTAAAACTCCTCAAATCAAAATCAGGTTTGGTCCAGTGGTATGAAATGCTTCACTTACATGCTGTCCATGTTACCTACCCAAGATCAGAAACTCCCTGCAAAGTCTACAGCAGTTCCAGAAACTAAGAGAGGTTCTTTTTCTTTTTAAGACACTGCAAATTGCAGTACATGTGACAGTGGTTCTTAGCACTAAACAGAGCTGAATATTAGTCTATTCTACAGTTATAAAATTGTGTCAAAACACAATTTGTTGCTCACACCTAACATCTTACTAAAGGCATATATTTTACAACCAGAGTATCACAGTAACAACAATCCATATTTGGGAAATGATTTTTCATGCAACGAATATTAACACACAACACAAAAGTGTGAAGGTTTTCTGCAACTAAGTAAAAAAAAGTACCCAACAGCTGTATATGCCTACAGCTTCCTGCTTGCCATTCCACTGATCAATATTTTTCCAGATTTAAAACTCTCATCCTGTAGGAATCTATGAAAAGAGTGTCTTTAAGAGTCAAGACAGAAGGTGCATAGCAGATAACACACAAATATGCGTATGTCATACTCACTTTTCCTTGTCTGACTTGTAGATCTGTGCAATATCCGGTACTAACGGATCGTCTGGATTAGGATCACAAAGTAAGGAGCATATGGACAATAAAACTAAATAAAAGAGACATTAGATTAAGCAAGTTAGGTTACCTTATTTTTATAATCCTTTAATATATGCCAGTACAGTGAAGAAGGGTGGTAGAAGGGAGAGTGGAAAGAGAATACATATTAGTATTAAGCTTTCACATAGTAGTTCTGCTTAGAAATGTTTATACAGCACCATTTTTCTAGGTTGTAAGTTAACACCACCTGACACTGCCTAGAGAACTTGCAGCCCATGGACCTGTACCTTTTGTAATGATCTCTCCCATGTTTTAACCTATGAACATTCAACAAACTACAGAGTACATAGTTCCCTATAAATGTTTGATCAAGCGAAGCCCTTCCATCTACAATTATTCAAGATAGTATTTTTAATATTACTCTTTTTTTACATATTCTTCTCCACTTTTGTGCCTAGAGTTATTCTTTCCTTTATATGAATGTTTCACTCAATTTGATAGAAGTCTGACTTCCACTTTGGGAAAATACCTCATCAGTATCATATGCAGGTATTCATTTATAATTCCATATTCCAACAAGTTGGAATTCCAGATCCAACAAGTTGCCCATGAGCCAGCAATGGGCCCTTGTGGCCAAGAAGGCCAATGGCATCCTGGGGTACATCAGAAAGAGCAGGGCCAACAGGTCAAGGGAGGTCATCCTGCCCCTCTGCTCTGCCCTGGGGAGGCCCCATCTGAAGCACTGGGTCCAGTTCTAAGGCCCCCAGTTCAAGAAGGACAGGGAACTACTGACAGCGACCAGTGGAGGGCTATGAAGATGATCAAGGGAACGAATAGAATGGATTTTTTTTTCCTTGCTTTGTCTTGTTACAAAGAACACAGAATCTATTTTCAGCTGTGGCAAGTATGACCACTTGATACTGACATATTTCATTTTACTAAGTGCCAAATAACACCAGTAATATTAGAAAAATCAGGTTAGAATATTTAGTCACACCAGAGTCATAGATTGTAATCCTTTGATTCAAAAAACACCAAGAACTATAAAGGGGAAACTTCCATGAGTCACTAAGCCAGTTTCCAGTTTATGAAATATATAATGTGCAAGCACCTTAAAAGCACATGAAAACAGAACACCTAAGACCAGCACACTGCTCCTCTTTATAACTGAAGGAACACTGAAAATGTAAAGACACAGAAAAATGCTGAAGATCTAAAAACTTAAAGAATTTTCAGTTGTAAATGCAAACTGTTAAGTACCAACTCTCATTTGCTAAATACTTTCTAAATAACTAGAAACAAGACAATTATTCTCAGCAATAAAATAATCAATTTCTGTGGAAAGTTAATACTGACTACACACGGTAGTAACTCATGTCTTCAACAACTACATCAGATTCATTTTTAAACTTAGATGTAAAACTTAGATTTTATTTTGCTTGTGAGATTACTGCACAGGGTTATGCATGAGCAGAAGTTGCTTTTCCAAGGAGGTACAGCAATTGTGCTTGCACAGAGCAATTTCCACTGGACAAAGACTAACATTTTTTCCTTGTGTGTACACCAAAAGCAATGACACTATTCTAAAAAAGGACACATGGTTTAAGAGAGCTTTCAAGCACACAAGCAAGATGTGATACTGTTTAACCTTTTGAGACACGTGAGGACTAAGCATTTTGAAGATGGGTGAGAAAAAACAATGCTAGCACCCACATTTTAAGGTGCTTTTAAGAAGTGACATAAAATGCCTACAACAAAACTGTAACCTCAATGTTCCAAAAATCTACAGTGCTCAAATAGAGAAAATTTAAGTACAGGACTAGAACATTTTAATAAATCTTCTACTGATTACTTTGAAAGCAGATACATTTTAAAATATTCATCTTAGAGAGGAATGCAAACCAGAAGAATTTATCTCATTTTAAAATAAAGCGTAGTGAAGACCTTAACCCACACAAGGATGCTCAGCTCAGGCAACCCAAAGAACCATCAATAAGCAATCAGGTAAGCCCACAAGCATCAGTATGGTATCTTCCATTTACATCCAAAATTGATTTTGAAGCTCTCTTCACCAGTTTCTCCTCAGTTCTGCATGCAGTCAGCTATAATCCAGAAGTTGCATATCAGGCTAATCTGACATCTATTATCTTCCTCAATTTGTTTTAGAACTTTTCATCACCATGCACATAATATTTAATATGATGTGACACTCCAAATAAACTGATCTTGGATTGTACCATGAATTCCAATGGAACATACCACTTCTGTAACATGCAGGATAAATGAGTTCCCACTGTCACCCTTAGTGCAGTAACCCACACAGCACCACAGCAGTGTGTGCAGTTTCACAAATCCATGAGCAAATCTGTGAGTTTACCTTTAGATACAGTCAGAGCTGGCGACCACTGAGATCTCAGGATGTCAAGACAAATACTCCCGTTACTGTTTATGTTTGGGTGGTATATTTTCGTTGTAAAAGCAATCTGGAATAAATAAAAAAAAGCAAGTAATATCAAAATCTGTTTATTACATTTGGAACCCTTAACATTGTCCCTTCAGTTCTAGTCATGCTGCATCTGCTGACACGAGCTATTGTACAGTCTTACCTGTTCATCCACTATAAACATGTACCCTACTGCTGGTCTTTCTCCTTGTAACTTCCAAAATTAAGCCTCAAAGGACTAAGACACAAAAAGAGAGCTTTGACCAAAAAAATGCATACATTTGGACAGAAAGGACTTACCTTTGGTGGTTTGAAAGGATAGTCTGTTGGAAAGTGTACTGTGAGAAAAAACACGCCCCCTTGATATGCACTGTCAGGCTGGGGAGAAAAACAAAACAAACAAAATATATCAATATATCTCAGTTACTTTGGAGCTTCTCTTCTGAATGAAGAAAGCCTCCCAAAGCTATGAAAATCCATTTTTTCCCTAGTACGCAGCCCATGCAGAGGGAACTGACCCCTCACACTGGCCTGCAGAGCTACAGTAGAGCCAACCAAGACAGCTACTGAGCGCTGCCCTTCTTGGGGAGGGAGAAGAAGGGAGCAGTGTTGGACTACCAAAAACAGTTTGGAGCTACCAAAAACCGCCGATCCATCAGCTCCACCTGGCTACTACTGCAGCAGCACAAGACGGCTACTGAGCGCTGCCCTTCTTGGGGAGGGAGAAGAAGGGAGCAGTGTTGGACTGGTGGAGCTACCAAAAACAGACAGCTACTGAGCGCTGCCCTTCTTGGGGAGGGAGAAGAAGGGAGCAGTGTTGGACTGGTGGAGCTACCAAAAACCACTGATCCATCAGCTCCACCACACCAAAGGGAAGACAAAACCCAGAGCAGGTCTTCCAAATCCTGTCTCCGTGCAACACCACAGGTGCTCTGATCCTCCTCCATCCTTAAGCTACAAATATACTCACCTTAAGAAGTGGTTTCTCTTTGCAGATGCAAAGAGTAGGATTTTCCAACATAATTCAGTTGACCATGGTGACATCAGGGAGTTTTAAAACACACAACATCTTTGTGACCTGCACAAATCTGTGAACATGCATTTTGTTAGAGAACATGTGCACAGGTTTACGTCCAGGTTGCACACAGTTAATAGATAGAAAAAACTTTGTTGCAGTCATCCGTTGAAGAAATCTTTCATTTTTATCAACTAGAAAAGTGAGAGGAAAAGTCTCAAGGCTAAATGATAGAAAGCAGTGCTGCCATTTCGGATTAAAGGAGGAAGAAAACCTCTCACGATATGGTAAGTTTTAAAACAGCAACATAGGTGATTAAGAGAGGAAGAAAACCTTTCTCGTGATATGGTAAGTTTTAAAACAGCAACATAGGAACTCAATCCCAGCAAAGCTGCAGAAGATCAAGTTTTGGGGTTTTCTTATGGAAGCAAAGGCAGACTTTTTCAAATAAGAAGTTTATCTTGGAAGTGAGCAAAAATTACAGTTTTAGAGATGAATATAAGAGGTAGAGTTACAAATGGTCCACTAAGACATGTCATCTTACACACTCAAAATGCAGACAGTGTTGCAATGTAAGGCAGTTTATATATAGCATTGCTAAGATGTCAGCATTAGGTAACATCAGAAGAGATTGCTGCTGTCCTTCCAATTAAGTTTGATAGGGCTGCTTGCATGCATACTAAATGGATTTGTCCAAGTTAAAATAAGCTGAAGATGAGACAAGTTCAGTGTCAGACAGAAGGCAAAGTGAAGTCACAAAGAGAAGTGATGTTTTTGAGTAAGATATGTAAAACTAATTGATGATGCCCATAGGCAGGGAAAGAGGTTGCCCTACTTCCACGCATAGAGGTGGGTTCTGAAGGTAAGCTTCAGTCCTATGCTCCCCTCAGGTCATCAAGAAACATACAGGATATGCATCTCTATTTTCTTATGTTATCAGGACACAGGATTAACATGCTGTCTGTGTTCTTTTCTTATTTGCAGATACGGCTGAGAAGGGTTGGCAAGAGATGATCATTCTTTAACTCAAGAAATCTGAAGATTCTTGAAGCAAATGAAGCGAAGAAAAGAATATGGAAGGTGAATTGCAAGCTCAAAGGGGGAAAAAAAAGGACTTTGAATTGGGATTTATATACTAGTATCCTTTCCTCAGGTCTCAGAGTCATTCAGGAGAGACATTATTGGTGGCAATTGGCACATGAGCTTTTGTTATTTTCTTCACTGGTTTGCCATTCACCTTTAAGCAGCGCAGAGAGGCAAGGGTCAGAATGACTTTGTATGTGAAGTAACACAGTTGCTGAAGAAAAGTAGCAAAAAAAATTAGTATCTTACAGAAGAACCTGCCACAATCATTTCAGTTGCCACTGGGCCATTGACAAGCTGGACAACAGACTCCAGCACACCACTGGCAAATTAGTACCTGATCTTTTACTGCTTCAGAGCAGCTGTGCTGAAAATGCAGAAATAGCCTCAAAGCAGTCACAGTTCCACTTTTCTCCACCATGTGATGCTGCATCTTAATGGATTAAATATCATAGTTTCAGCTCACACAGTGGTTGAGCTCATTATCTGAACCAAAACCTCTTCTTTCCAAATTATTTGGTACAGAACAAACCTATTTGGAATACAAACTCCTTACCATGACATTAATAAAAACCTCTTCCCTCAGGTCATGCTGTTCTTCACTCTTTATGCTGAAACCCTTTTCAGTTTTCCTTTAAAATTTTCTGTTCTTAAGCTTTATTGTCCTTTCTTCACCTCTTCCCTCAGGTCATGTTGTTCTTCACTCTATGCTGAAACCCTTTTCAGTTTTCTTTTACAAGTTTCTGTTCTTAAGCTTTATTGTCCTTTCTTATGTCATTTCCTTGATAAGAGTCATAAACAGGGTCTTAAGAGATCTCCCTCAACCCAAAGAAAGCAGGCATTTCTCAGAACAGAAACAAAAAATACCCACAATTGCTGATCTACAGTTTGCAAAAGCCATCTGGTTTTGCCAGAACCACAGCACGGCCATCAACCTAAAAGCCATCTATCTAAAAGCCCCAAAATCACGCTGTGCACCATCCCTCTTGTTTACAGTTACCAACTGTAACGTTGTATTACACCCACTCTTCCTTTCAGATGGGTCAATCCTTCAGAATTGAAACAATTATCTTTGAGAAGCAATTATCTTTGAGAAGCAACCTTTTCACTTTGCAGCCCACATCACCAATTCCAATGTTGCAGCTAACCAATTAAGCACCCTTAACCTCATCAAGAGGACAGATTTTTGAACACTTAAAGAAATTAATACCAGACTAACAACAACAATAACACCCTAAATGTTTAATTTGTACACAGCACAGCTGAATTTGACTCTCATGTTTACAGAAACCCAAATTAATCCTTCCCTAAAGGGAAATATGATCTACTTTAAGTGGCACAAATTATATACTTACAGGTCCCATAATTGTTGCTTGCCAATGGAACACTGAAAGTCAAAAAGGTACAGCAATTAGAGATTTTTCTGAGCTCTTTGTTAACCAAAAAAAAGGTCAACTGTGACAAAGTACTAGAGAAGAGCTTACAGTCATCTCCAACAGGTCCAGCAGAACAGTGGGCAGGTGGGTCTCGCTGCAGATCACTTAGTTCCTGTAAGAAACACACAAATATTTGAAAGACATCCACATGGAAATAGGCACCACTCAGCAGCAGCACTTGCAAAGTGAGAACACAGCTTTTGATTTCACAAAAGTTTCTTCCATCAACCTAACCTATGTACAATAGCCGAGTTAAACTAGCTCATAAAATGCTTGCAGTCTGTCTAGAGATTATATATAAAGATAACACGAAGGTTCCTAAGTAAACTAGAAAATACAGGAAAAATATTAGTTCTACACCTTACTTAACATACCATGATTTAAATCCCTGCATATTTTTTCCCCCCAAAATGACTACTAAAAAAACCCGAAGGAAGTTGAATTTTCAAGAGAAGCATTCAGAGAAGCTTTTGCAGGTCAAGTGATTTATTTCTTCTACGGAAGTCCACACAGTCCCAAATAATTTAAATTACTTAATTACACAAAACCAGCTCTGCTTTTCATCTGATTTATCGTGAGTATACCAAATGCAAAACAAGTCAGACATTAATGGTGGTTCATTTTCCTTGTTTAATTTAATATACCACTTTTGATGTCTGAAGTTTTACTGCACTAACAACAAACAACTTTTTTCCAATTCTAAACTTAGAAGAACTGTGCTGTGACATTTAATAATTTTGTGAAAATACTTCAATTGAAATAAACTAAAAGACATGTGCTAAGCCACTGTTCCTAAGTCAGCCAACTACTTACACAAAACAGACATTTAAGTAAACAACAGATATAAGCAGGTCTGCAAATATCTCCTTGATTTTAGTGTAAGGAGTAACAGTGAAAACATTTCTACTCAAAGATCATCAGTCAAGACACCTACTTCTAAAATCAAAGTTTAAATTGGAACTAAATTTAACTTTGTAATTGTAGCATAATCAGATCTTATATACAATTTAAAGGGTTAAAACCGAGCACTTAACTGCTGTGATATATTTATCTATTTACAACATCCAGCAAACAACTCACAGAGTTCTCTCTTTGAAGGACTCAATTCACCATACAGCTGGCACCTAAATTCAGACACACTTCTTATAGGTCCACTCTTGGCCCTGAATTCAAAAACAGGCACTGCAACCTATCCTCAGCCAGGTAATAGAGTAGTATTACTACCACTTGCTCTGAAGTCACTCCTCACAATCTTTGGAATTTAAAGTAAGAGACAGTTCTTTGATATATATTGAAATATCTCAGGTTGCCAAGTAGTGTTACTTGTGTGCCCTCAACTTTATTCTGTTAGTAAAATTGTATGCTGGTCCAGAAACAACACTGGGTTAGACTTTAACCAATAAAGGAAACAGCAAAACGCTTTAAAAGTGCAGTTCCCTTTTTAATCGGAGGATTCAAATTTCACTAAGGGAGTGATCCAGAGAACCAGTAATCTATGCAAAGCCAAGTCCTTGCCAGTACACGAAGGGAATCAACAAGTCTCAGATTTCCAAGAGTCCCGAGGGTTGTAACAAGCATTACTAGCAGAGCAGTTACAGTCACTGCCCCCTCTAATGTGCAACTCAAAATCTAACACAAGAGTTTAAGTCTTGTACACCCACCAAAAAGGAGCCAGCTACACAAGACTGTTAGCCAAACCAGAGAACTCAAAGCCTAGAAATCACACTTTTTTGAGCAGTCAGGGCTGACTACTAAATTAAAGGCAATGACAGGAAAAATACATAGCTTAACTCTTCAGAAAGTCTCCAAAATAGATGCAATCATCCCTTTATAGATATACGAACTGCTAGGCAAGCACGTAATTTTGGAGTCACAAGTCTGTAACAGTACACTCATTTATTAGATGCTTTCCTCAAGACCTTTACATACCCCAAACCCACACAAATTTGGTTTTGTTCATATGTACACACACAGTTCAGAATTGATAGGAACTGGGGAAGGCTCCTCAGGTACACACTTTCGATTAGTTCAGGCTAAAGGCACTGACATTTGTCCATGATAAAACCCCCATGTTTTCAATCATACCTTGATGAGACCCAGAACTATCAACTCCTGCTATTAATGTTTCCCTAATAACGATGAAGAAAAGGCTCTCATCAACCAACTTCACTACCCGAGAGCAATGATACATGTAGAGAGATCTGCAGCTAGGAAACAGAGCCAGACCAAACTTCAAAATTCTGATAGAGCAAATTCAAGCCATATTTTCCAACCATAAAAAATAATGGATTGAAGCTAACATGGTTTAAAAATGCAAATGATAACATGTAAATTGAATTTGACAGTGCTAATGTTTTGAGCCTTTACATACAGAAGCTCAGATCAAGCTGTAATAAAAACCAAAAAGCTATTCAGCTTTATACTATTAATTATGCTGTTTAAGCTTCATATTCAAAGCAAAATTATCTGGAGAAGTGTAAGATTCAGGCTTCAAGCTTTCCTGTGTCTCTTGAAATGGTGCAAGGAGAGTCAGAATGTCACCCATGAGTGAATCTGACTTGACCAGAGCAGAACATCACAGAACAGTTGTGATGATTCTCTAGAGTAATTAGATGTAGAAAAACTACTTCATGACTTCATATATTCAGAAAAGAATGATGTGTTGAATACAAGAATTCTTGACACAAAGTGGCAAAGATGCTCTTTGTAAGAAGCCCAAAACTTTGCTGTGTCAGGAAATACTACAAAGGGCAATGTGCAGAAACCTCACAGAGAAGTGCAAGGGAACTGCATGTAAAGCATTACACAGTTAACACTAACAATTTCCCTGTGATTTTAAGTTAATTAGTTCCAGCAGTTTTGTCCACGTTTTATGGATTATCACTGTGTAGCCACAAGATGCAGGTCTGGTTACTTCAAGGCCTTGACTACAGTGATATTTTTAGTTGCTGGTATAGAAAATGCTGGTGCAAGAGTGATGGATGTAGGCTAACAAACAGGGACTATAATTCAAAGCAGATTCAGTTTCAAAAGAGAAAGTCAATACTACAAATTAGTGTACACCAGTGTAATGTCTTTTTAAAGAACACTCAAAGCCAGAATTTTGTCTGCAAGCAATGTGAACACAAGTACCAGTTATTTCCAACACTGGTGAACGTCACAACATAAAAGCATCTATCAAGAGCCACACTATCCCAGCATAGCCAGGAACAACATGTACAGAGAAAACAGCTAAGCTGAGGACAGTGGGAGGAATAAATCTTCTAATCCTCTCAAACATAGGAAATATTAGAGAGCGCAATAGAATACTGTTAATTCTATACCTCTAACTGGTTGCAATGAATGGGTGCTACAGCAAGCTATTTCTCCTGTTTCCAACCACAGAACAGCAGCACAGCACAAAGGCAAGCAGGATCCATGACCAGGTGTAGCTAATAAAGGAATCTTAGCATAATGCTACAAATGCCAAATGACAATTATCCCAGGTAGACACAGCAAAGCCTCCAAATTATCACCTTTCATTTCACCACACACACTGTAGAATAAATAGGTCTGTGGGGAGCATGAGGCAAAAATGTAAAAGTTAGGTTTAAAAGATGTAAAACACACACTATGGTAAGCTATGAATGCTGGAAATAGTTCTGAACGTGCAGACTAGTACTCAGTATCAAAATGTAACACAGGATGCATTTCATAAAAGTACAAAGTTGGTGAAGACTGGAAGGCCAGTTTAATGGTTACCTGCTTCATTGTGGGTCAAGCTTCTCTGCTAAAAAGCTACTGGAACAAAATTGTGAAGGATACTTTGATAACAAGAAGATAAATGTTCTCAGTATAGCCACTCAATGGCTATGAGCATGAGCAGTAGCAGGAAAAAAGGCCCTAAAAGACTCCTCTTTTCTTCAGTTTAAAAAAAAAATCATAAAAAAGACTGCAGACTATCAGAAGACCAAAATAAACTGCAGGCAGCATCACTAAAAGCTATTTTAAATCTCTAAACGACACCATCTGACAAGCAGAGCTCTTTTCCACACCATTATTTAAAATATAGGTTTTTATATTTGCCAGTTGTTCTTCATTTCTTGCACAAAATGCACTGTAGACCACAGACTCACTTCCTACCATGCATACACTACTGCTATTATAGAAATGTTTGGAACCATCTGTCAAAAAAGGGTCAGTGATTATAGTTAAAGGATTCTCTGTTCTTCATAAATTTGGCAAATGTAAAGCAAATATTTATCATAACATTTCTCAATATAAAGTTAAGTCTTGGTAATAAAGTACATGTACTATTTTATGCATTGTTTTAAGGCAAAACAAGTATTGCTATGATACCACAGCTGGTATTTTAAAAGCAAATTAAAACATCTTATATTACAGATTCAAAAAGGAAGTTTCCTTGGTAAGTTAATTACCATCCAAACACATCACGTGACTCAACAGTTTAAAGTCAAACCATAAACCACAAATATAGACAAAATTTTATTTACTTGGGTGACTTTACAGTAACAAAAGCTATTTTAAAAATAAATATTCAAGCCTGTATGTCCTGTTTTCTACCCATACACTAAACACACATGAAACAAACAGACATACAGCCCATTGATATATCTAAATGTTTGTATGCTTCCATTCTTTCCAAGTTGTGGGAGAAGAACAATCAAGGACTATGCACAAGATAAAAACCAACAGCTATTTTTAAATCAGTCCTCAAACGTGTCAGAAACTAGTTTGTCACTGTTTTCAAAAATCTCTTCTAAATGCATTTAGATGGACTGTAACAGAAGTAAATACTGGTTTTGTACATATTTCTAAATAGCCTGTGCTATTAACAAGCATAACATCAACCCCCTTATTTACACTAGAGGAACACCCAGAAGTAAAGGATTTATGATGAAAACAGTCTCCTGAACTGTAATATTCAATGGACGTGACAGCACACTTGCAATTAGATATGTAAACAAATGATTTGGAACAGGAGTCTCAGAAAAACAGTTCTGCAAAAGACAGATGGGCAGAACTGACCTACATGCTAATATACACAACCTGACAGCCTGAATTACTTTCTGTTTTGCCCCAAAGCCACGGTGTCTCAATTTCCAGAGGTGGTAACAATAAAAGCTTTTTGCCGAATACCCCTTTCCAATGAAATCCAACACTATTTGTTTAGTTTTCATCATGTGCAACAGTTGGATTTTACAGTACTCACAAAAACATGGGCTATTCTTTCATCCCTGTGTCACAGACTATGAAGAAGCAACTCTGGCCCCAAGGAACGATTATTTGACCTCTCACACAGAGCACAGCCTTAAGTTTTTGACAGCATAGAAATATACTGTCTCTCTTTCACGCTATGCCAGAGTACAGCACTGACAAGGTAAACTAATACAGGCTCCTTAGCTTAAGATGAGTAAGAAATCCCCATCCTTCCAAGAACTCTGAGATTAATTTCTCATGGAGGTACACTGACAGCTGTGCTTGCACCACAGGGCTCATGTCCTCACTGCTCTTCTACACTCAGCTTGTTCGTTCGTTATTTCGGTTACTTGTATTTAAAGAAAGCTCCCAAGCACAATACATCTTTCCATTATTAGTGTGTAGTCTTGAAATCTGCAGGCTGTCCTCCTTTGAGGAGTCCCTCGAGGCAGATTCATGAAAGATGGGATGAAACCACACAGATCACAATGGCAATACTATTTAGAAACTGGAGTCCCAACCAGTAAGAGGCAAAAAATGCTTACTAACATCTCTACTTATCTTGGCTTTGCTTCCTATATAGGTACTCTCATCCTGAACACATTATCAAAATTATTGTCAACACTCAAACTTGCCATCAAAATCCCTTAGCTGTGTTAAAGCACAATTCTGAACCACCCAAGCTTAACTTGAGACAATATGTCTGGACTGACAAGCTCCCAAGTAACACCATTGTGTTTTCTGACAGCACTTTGTTCTCCACAGAGTTGCTCTAGGCACTTTGTGAAACTGCAATCCTTACAGCATTTTCTCTACTCCAGATCTTATCCCTTCCTACCCTTGAGATACAACATAGCTATCAACCTTTATAGCCAGTCTGAAATCATACATTTCACTGCTTTCAGGAAAGCGCCACGTATTACAGTGACATCAAGATACAAGCTGCTTTGTCCTTTCAAACTTTTCCACTTCATTTTAACTTTCCACTTGAAATAGCCCTATTTTCCTTGCCACTTTTCTCTTCTGCTGCGGTGCAGACTCTTGGCCAAATCCCTCCAGTAGTATTTCTTTCTTACCCTGGAAAGGCAGCAGATAGTGAGGAGGGTAGTTAACAAAACAAAGCAAGTCAGCAATAGCCATTTCTGCAAGTGATAGTAATTTCTGCAGCAAACTAGAAACAAGAGATAACCACATCTGAATCTAACCTCAACTCTTCTGGTAGGTCCTGATATCTCTTCATGTTTCAGACAGTAGTTATTAATCAGGAAATCATCTACTACCTTGAAGTCAGCATGCTGGTAAGCATTCCTTCATTTTTAAAGAGTAGAAACAGAATCTAATAAGGCTAACAGGAGGAAATATATTCTTTCATAAATAATCTACCTGCAATTTTACAGCTATTGAACACAAAGTTTTTAAACACCACACTAAAGAAAAAACACAGCTTTCTTGGTGGAAGTCTCTAAAGCAGAAATAAAAGTTATCTATGGAATACAAGAAGAGTAAAATACAGAATCTAGCTATCTACAGCTATTGAACACAAAGTTTTTAAACACCACACTAAAGAAAAAACACAGCTTTCTTGGTGGAAGTCTCTAAAGCAGAAATAAAAGTTATCTATGGAATACAAGAAGAGTAAAATACATAGAACAATCCTAGTCCAGAAGGACCTCATTCGGAAGCCCACAAAAAACCACTCCATCTCAAAAACACTAGAAGACTACCAGATTTTCCACTTTGTATGTTCAACTTAGCAGCATGAAACTGAAGAGGGGGAAAAGGGTATTCAGAACAATCCTTTTGTTACAAATGTGAGGGTAAAAAGATACTCAGATAAAAGGTTGGAAATTAAAAAGCCAAGAAAACACAAAGCATCCTCGTAACATGTAGAAGCCTAACAGAACTCACTGCTAGAAAAAATCACTGTAGTCATTATTTCATATAATGTTCAAATGCACTACTCATAACAAATATATGAGGTGAGGTAACAAAAAACTCTCCTAATTACCTGTAAAGGCATAATCAGATTTGTGACACCTGACCTAAGCACCAACTTCTAGTAGAAACTGGTAAAAATAAGCTTGTTATCTATTGTGGGGTATCCCAAACCTGCTTGCTGCAGGGTTAACTACTCATGATAGAATTCTGTTCCTGTAATACCACCGTTTTCCAACAGCAAAAAGGGAAATTCAGAACAAGAAATTACAGCCCAGTCACTAAACGAAGATGGCACAAACACTGATTAAACATGGTGCATCAACAGCAACAAAACACCACTATTCTATAACATGGTCAACACGTTAACGTTACCTCAACTTCTATGTTTACCATCCATATCACTTTTTTGGTCTGAACTGTACAATAACCAGTTCCACCTTGCCAAACGCCAGGAATCTAGAAATCTACTCCTTAGTGGAAGCCTGGCCATTTACAGATATCATGCAAAAACACTCTACAACCGGGATACATTCAAAGGTCACAGGGAATACCGGGCTAACGGCACTTCCTAATGTGGAAAAAACCACCCCACAACTCGGTTAGGGCAGAGCCTACCGAGCCCTGCGCCACAGGAGCACAGGATTTTGGCCACAGATATTCTAATTACACCCCTACTAAAGATAACCCCTGAGGGCAATCTCGCCTTTCACCCAGTCACACGGCCTGGGGAAACACCTCAGGTGGTTTATTGACAGCACTGAGGGGCTGGGAGGGCCCTCAAGAAGGCGAAGGGTCCCCAAAACGACACGGAGACCGCCGAGAGCCGCCCTTTCCCCGCCTCACACCCGCTCCCACCGGCACAACCGACCTGGGCCCCACCGCCCCCTCAGGCGACTCGGGGCGGGGGGGGGGGCAGCGGCGGGCTCCAGGCGGAGACAAGGCCAGGCGACGGCTCCCTTCCCCCGGCCTGCTACCACCATCTTTTCCTCCCTCCCCGCTCCCCCCGGCCTCACACCAGTCCAACTCACTTTCTGTATCCGCTTCAGTGCCATGGGAGCGCGGGGCGGGCGGCAGCGGGGAGCGCGGCCGGGGGGGGGCGGGAGGAGCAGGCGGTTAACGGCATCGGCGCGCGCCGCGGCGGCGGGCCCTTTGTGTAGGCCTGCGGCTGCGCAGTGGGTGGGGCGGGGGGAACAGGGGGTTGTCACGCGCGGGGCATGCCGGGAAATGTAGTTCGCGGGGCGTGGGCGCAGCTGCCCCCTGGCGACCGGCGGTGCCCTCGGCTGCCACTATGACGTGTTTTCTTCCTTTATGATAGCCAAGGCAGATTTTATATAGTTTATAAACGGTTAAACTGTAGAGAATCTCCCTTTAGAGAAGAAACGTAGCTATTTTAACAACCATCCCAAATGATTTCAAGGACTTAGATAAGAAATGACGTCTGTGGCGCTGAGAACATGGTGGCCTAAGACAGGGATGTGATAAATATGGACGTTGTCTGACACATGGGTGGTAGCAGGGAGGTCATTAGTTTTAATCAGGCGGAGACAAGGCCAGGCGACGGCTCCCTTCCCCCGGCCTGCTACCACCATCTTTTCCTCCCTCCCCGCTCCCCCCGGCCTCACACCGGTCCAACTCACTTTCTGTATCCGCTTCAGTGCCATGGGAGCGCGGGGCGGGCGGCAGCGGGGAGCGCGGCCGGGGGGGGGCGGGAGGAGCAGGCGGTTAACGGCATCGGCGCGCGCCGCGGCGGCGGGCCCTTTGTGTAGGCCTGCGGCTGCGCAGTGGGTGGGGCGGGGGGAACAGGGGGGTGTCACGCGCGGGGCATGCCGGGAAATGTAGTTCGCGGGGCGTGGGCGCAGCTGCCCCCTGGCGACCGGCGGTGCCCTCGGCTGCCACTATGACGTGTTTTCTTCCTTTATGATAGCCAAGGCAGATTTTATATAGTTTATAAACGGTTAAACTGTAGAGAATCTCCCTTTAGAGAAGAAACGTAGCTATTTTAACAACCATCCCAAATGATTTCAAGGACTTAGATAAGAAATGACGTCTGTGGCGCTGAGAACATGGTGGCCTAAGACAGGGATGTGATAAATATGGATGTTGTCTGACACACGGGTGGTAGCAGGGAGGTCATTAGTTTTAATGAGCAATTACACAGTTAGAATGTTTTGCCAACATGAAAAGTGAGCCAACATGAAAAGGACAGGTGAAGAAGATGAAGATTGAGGAAGAAACGACCCTCACTCCAAATGAGGACCACCAGAAGGCACAACGACACATGCCCAAAAGCTTATTATAATATGTAAATGCATTCTGGGAAATGTAATGAATATGTATACCTGTTGTGTATAAATTTAATTTGACAACAACATTCGCTGTGCACAATAGGAAAAGCGATCCCCTGTGCACCTGGCGCCGCAATAAAGAACATTCGCTGTGCACAATAGGAAAAGCGATCCCCTGTGCACCTGGCGCCGCAATAAAGAACGCCTGCTTTCTAAACTTTAAATTGAGTCTTGTAAAGTTTTATCAGCCAGTTTGCGGTAACGTTTATACTGTAAAATTTTACCGTATTTTGTCAGCATTTTTTTTGCTGTTTACACACTCTTTGTGTCTAGAGAACAAAAGGTGTGTGGGCAACGCCAGGACATGAAGAGGAAACAAACCCTGTAGAACTGCGGAGTAGCTTGTTTTTAACTGAAGACCAGTAATTCTCACACCAACAGCCAAGTTTGGGAGCTTTAAGGCAGTTGTCACCTGGGGGACACCACTTTTTAGTTTTTCTCTTGAAACGAAGAAGCCGGGCTCAATAGCCAACGTGACCATCAAGCGCTGTTCTTTATCGCACCTCAAGGTGCTCCAGCTCAGACAATCATAGTTTTTCTGCGACGTGATTAACATAAGTCCGCCTTTCTTAGAACTAATTACATATTCAGGAGATGAGTTTCTCCACAATCTTTGCTGCCATTTGTTGACCGTTTTCAGGAACCACAGCCACTCTGGCGGTCGTTTACTTCATCTGGTGGTCCTATCCTCCTCTTCATCAGTTGTCCCCTAGATGAACTCGGATTGTTTTGCTTCCTTTTCTTGCTGACTTGGTAGCCAGCCTTGCTTCAAGCCGGTTTTCTCCAGTCTTGTTGTCTGAGCTCCCTCTATCTTGTTTTCTAGTTCTCCTTACGATAAGCAAGACTAGTTACTCCATTGTCTAACAATCACACGGTGACCTTAGAATGTTGACAGCCACACGACAGCTTACAACAGATAAGCAAATTATTAACTACTTTAGCAAGATTCACTAGTAACCACAAGGCCCTTTATTTCACTCTCCGCAAACGCAGAAGAGGGGGCTCCTACACCACCATGTTCTGAGGCATTTATGAAGTCATTGAACCATAGAATCGTGCAATGGTTTAGCTCAGAAGGGACCTTAAAGATCATAACCTTAGAATGTTGACAGCCACACGATGGCTTACAAGAGAAAAGCAAATTATCAACTACTTTAGCAAGATTCACTAGTAACCACAAGGCCCTTTATTTCACTCTCCGCAAACGCAGAAGAGGGGGCTCCTACACCCCGATGTTCTGAGGCATTTATGAAGTCATTGAACCATAGAATCGTGCAATGGTTTAGCTCAGAAGGGACCTTAAAGATCATGGAACTCCAACCCCCTGCCCTGGGCAGGGACACCTCCCACCACACCAGGTTGCTCCAAGCCCCATCCAGCCTGGCCTTGAACCCCTCCAGGGATGGGGCAGCCACAGCTTCTCTGGGCACCCTGGGCCAGGCTCTCACCACCCTCACAATAAAGAATTTCTTCCTGAGATCTCATCTAAATCTCCCCTCTTCCAATTTAAAACCATCACCCCTCGCCCTACGACTACACTTTCCCCGTAAACCGCCCCTTTAAAGCGCTAGGCTCTGTTCAGGCCTCTGACGCCTTTGAGGGGCTGGCCCGGCCGCCATCTTGCGGGCGGAGAAGTGGGCGGTCCGTCGGGCGGGTGGCGCATGCGCGGAGCTGCGCGTGCCCTCTGCGCGGCGGGAGCCATGGGGCTGGGGCAGAACTCCTCCGTGCGGGGTAGGCGCGCGGCCCCGGAAGCGGCGCGGGGCGGGGGTGGCCGCGTGCCCTCCGCGTGCCGGTGCGCGGGGAGGATGGGGTGGGGGGGGGAGGAGGGTGGACGGGCAGAGGAAGGGGCGCGGTCCCGCCTCGCCGGACCCCCGGGGACAAAATGGCGGCGGGGAGGCGGGTGGCCCCTGGGGGC